GGAAAGTAGATGAAGTAGCTGAAGTATATGAAGCCAAAGAAGGTTTATATAATGCTTTTCAATAATAATTTTTCTCAGAAATGGCTTTATTTAGCCATTTTTAGTAATATTAAAGTTAATGGGTGTGGCTTAATAACTTATCGATAAAAATATCGATATCCTCATTTTTAGGCAATATCGTATCATATCGCATCGTTTCAAAATTTTCAATATCGCCCAGCACTAACTCAGACACTGACTTCCGGTGCTGTATGCAATATAACGGAACAGGCGGTGCCTTTGATGCGCCCACGTAGTATACTATAAGTTCTCTTAATGTGTTGTATGAAGTGATTGTATAAAAACTCTTCTATTCCAAGTACTAGCAGTTGTCACCACCTTTGCATGCATGATTAAAATGACTAGACTGAGAGCTAGAGAAAGAGAAGAAATAAAAGGAGAGAGAGAGGAATTAAAATGTAATATGGTAAAGGTCTTACAGCTAGGTCCATAGCTAGTCTGTGTGGATTGGCAGGATCAATAATAGATGGGAATAGATTAAGAATGAGTGAGGTTCTATTGTTGTTGGTATAGCAGCATTGTACAATACAATCAATAAATCAGCAACCTAAAACAAAAGTGGTAATATAAAATTTGCATGTGTGTATGTATCTGATACATATCTAGTGTAATCAAGAGTGGATAGTTATTTAGTAATTTATATGTTGAATAACTCATTTTCTGTAATAAGGTCTGCAATTTGTTATTTGAGAGGATCTTGGTCAATAACTCATTTTGTGTATTCAACTGATTTTTCAAGGGCCATGGCTGATACCTCATGTTTCATTTTAGTTTATTTAATTTTTTCGATGTCTCATCTCCTGTATTATCAAACTTATTTCCTTATTGTCTCTCTCCTTTTTATGATAAATTTATTTTGAAGGCTATTATAGCCCATCGTTTTTATAGGGTATACATTGCATGTGTATGCATTCATGTATGCATGCTATTGCTCACACCTGCATCATTTGCTACAGATTCAGCAGCATACATCAGCTATTATACTTCTTGTACATACACATGGCTACAAAGGATAAAGAAAGAAACAAAAAAGAATGATGCATAGTGGAATAAAGAGAATGACAGACAAGAGAAAGAATACAATTCAATAAGTAAATATATTCTTCATTATGATTACTCTCATTAGTCCAGTTTCCAGTACATGCCTCTAGCTCTAAGCCAAATTTCAAAGAGCCGCATCAGTGCTGATAAAATGCTTATACTGCCCTAGGGCATAAATCCCTATCATAACAATTCCAAGAATATATATACATTTTGCAGTCCTAGTTGTGATATAAGGCTAATGAATAACATTGTACATTTCTAGGAACTGGCAACTTCTTCACCTATAGTCTAAGTATAGATGTATAACATTATATAATTCCAGGAACTATACATGTAAACCAAATCATAACCTTTCTAAGAACAAAGGATCATTGTAAAATTCTGTTTTATAAGACACATATATACAGTGAGTGTGTTAAAGTGGAGTGAAATCTGAAAATGGCATCAGGTGCTGATGAAGTCCTTGCTATTGGATCTC